TCATCTTTTACAAATGCCATCATGCTAATACCTCATATATAACTGAACAGTACATAAGAAAAATGAATTTTCAGTATATAATTTTCTTTCAGTATAATTATTTACCAGATAGTCTCAAGAAATTATCCATTCAGGACATGCATTCTGCTCATTGTTGGCTGGTCTCATGTGCCAGGCATTGTGAAAGATTTTGGTGAAATTAAACTTCCTGTTACCTTTCATGTCAAATAGAACTTTCATTGTCAAAACTCAACACAGGGAAAAGTATAATTAGCAGAAATATCCTGATGCTCAAACCATATTTACTGATCAAATGAATTTTGAGTTGGAAAATATAGTGTTTATTTCTACTTTGCTTTCTAGAATAAGAAATTGGGGCGCCTGGGTGGCTCAGTGGGTTAGAGCCTCTGCCTTTAGCTCAGGTCGTGGTCTCAGGGTCCTGGGATCGAGCCCCGCATCGGGCTCTCTGCTCAGTGGAGAGTCTGCTTCTCCCTCTCTCTCTGCCTGCCTCTCTGCCTGTTTGTGATCTCTCTCTCTGTCAAATAAATGAATAAAAAAAAAAAAATTAAAAAAAAAAAAGAAAATACTTCCCCATCTCTTAGTTAATACTTGGAGAAAATAACTATGATTTCAACTCTTAATTTTTATCACTTTATATTAAAACATTTTCACATCTTCCCAGTTGATTGAAGAAAGGACCTTTAATCTATTATTTTTTTAAAGTTTCTTTCTTTCTTCCTCCCTCCCTTCTTTCCTTCTTCCCTTCCTTTTTCTTTCCTTCCATCCTTTTCTTCTTTTTCTTTCTCTGTTTCTCTTTCTTTTTTCCTCCTTGCCTCCTTCACTCCTTCCCTCCCTGAGTCCCAGCTTTATTTTAATACGGATAATATAAGTGGATAATTCCAGTAACAATAATAATAACAATCTCCACTGTATACCATTTTGAAACTAATTGTAGTTCAATATCATGACCACCCCCAAAATCAAGAACAAATTTAATTATTTTTATTCTATAAATTTTATAAATACACACAATTTTCACTATGAATCACTTATAATTTTAAATACTGATGTTCTTACTTAAAATTGGAAGCAGCCATAACACAAATTTGTTAATTCTTACATTATCTTGTTGCAGAAATAATTGTTGAAAATTGTGTGTAAGGCTCTGTGTTTATCCCTTGGGCTATACCAGTGACTAAAACATAAAAAAATATATGTATTATTAGTGCCTGTATTAATAGTGCCTACCTTTTACAGGGAAACGGCAATAATAAACGATGAATATAATACATAAGTACATTGAGATTAAAGGTTGATTAAAGGTAAGAAAAAATAAAAAGTATGGCAAAGTACAATGGGGAGTGAACATGGGCAGCTTGTAGTAGTAAAAGGGTCTTAGTCAAGGTAAGCATCAGTGACAAGATAACATGTGGGCCATTGCCTTGAAGCAGGTGAGAGATTTAACCAAGCAGCTAGCAGACAGAGTATTCCAGGCAAAGGAATCAGCAAAAGCATGTCTCTGAAGGTGGGAGCAAGCCTGGGCTATTTGAGACCATTGCAAGGCTTTGAGCAGGGAGTGATGTGTGCCTAGTATGTTCAAAATGTTTTATATTGTAGTGACTCAGGGAACCAAAAAACAACCTCATAAGATGGATGCCATTTTTAATTCTTTTAACAAATGAGAACACTGATGCACTGAGAGGTCAGGCAAGTTACCTGAGGCCCCACAATGAGGAAGTGTTGAAATTCAGATCCAGGTGCCAGCAGTTTGATTCTAGAGGGAAACTTTGAGTAACTAGAGCTCTAGTTGCCACTGGAACAGGACACACACACACACTTGCACATGTGTACACACACACTCGCGTGGGTATGTCCTCATGTATATGTACCTACATATCCACAAATATATATGCACAAGAGTGGAGAAAGAGCTGAGAAACCAGTAAAGGAGAGTTTGTTAGGCATACTCTGGTCCTCCTGGTCCATGTTTTATTTTCTCTCTTGTGTACTTGTTAATGTTTAGGTCTAAGTGTTTGTTTGAATGAAAGAAGTTTCAAATGACTGAAAACATTTGGAATTATTTGCAAAATAGAAATTCTTAATGTATAAAATAAATATTGTGGGAATATATGTAGTTACATCAATTTATTTTAAATAAAAAGAACAAAACAAAGCTCTCATTGAACTGAAATCATGTGCCCTTAAAATTTTTTATGAGTTGACAGAGAAGAAATACAAGAATATTTTCTGGCAAAATATCTAGAATAATATAGCAACCAGTCATTTAAGCTATTTACTTCGGAAGAGCTTTAGAATTAACAGAAAGTCTTCATAAATCATGACTTATGACTCACATCTGAAGCAAATGAAGATAAATGTGTCACTGGGTTTTTTTTTTTCTGCATTAATTATCTTTGTTTTACTATGTAGACATAAAGTAAACATCCTTTCTTATGTATATACTATGGCTTTTGAAAAATACTTAACATATATTGTTGTATGTAAGTCCACATAAATTCTAATTCATAGGCTGTTTCTCTGTACCAAATCTATGTAAATAGAAATAAGTATTAATGTTTGAAATATAATATTCTGCAAAACAGATAATAAATTCTATTAAGATGAAGACATGTAACCCCTGTACATCAGGGTCATAACTATTATATTTAGTACAGCACGTACTCCACATTATCAACTCATTATCAGTCTACCAAGTAATTAAAAGTAATTAAATTTATCACAAGGCAAATTCTTTAAGAGTCTACCTCAGTCTTAAAGGACACTGATGAAAAGAATACTTCTCAAAATCTTCCAATGAAAAGAATAAAATTGCTCTCTCCAAAATGGTATAAAATTACATGCCTACTATATATAGGGCTTTGTATTTTTAAATAAAATATTGTTCCATAACAGCCCTGCATATCCAGCAAGAATGAGAAAAACAATCTCCCCAGAAGGGTCATAACCACTGAGAAATTCTAGGCAAGAAATTCCACATGGCAGATACAGAAATAGATTGAGGTAAAGCAAAGACAAATGATACTGCGTATCACTTCCAGAGTTAACATGTTTTGTATAATACCACTTAACTCCCTGTTTTATCAGCTACTATTCTTGCTTCTTGTCCATTCAAATAACTTAAACCAAACTCTAGGAAATATTATTTCTGGCAGTTTTCAAAATCTGGATCTCTTTCTACCAACCATCTCCCCCAAATAATAATAAATAATAAACAAAGATATTTCCTTCCCCCCCATTCTTAAAGAAATCCAAAGAACTTCCCCTGTAGAGAATTTTGTTTTCACTTTGACTTTTGTACAATTTCACTTACATCACAAAAAGCCAGGACAAGCTTTAAGAAGAAAAGCATATCTGCATTACTGATTAATGAGAAACATCTTTTATCACTCCCTGAACCATGCAGTATACTCTCTGTTTTTTGATAAAGTTACAGTTTTTCTTTATTGACTTCATAATTCATTAGTGAGTCAAATCTGCCCAAATGAATAGAGTTTACTTGGTCATACTGAGAAAAGAAGTATTCCTTAATATGAAGAAAGGGCTGGCTGGCAGATGAAAGAGAAGAGGAAATCTCAACTGTTGAATATTTGACAGTAAGTGGGGGCAGGGGAGGTGGTATGTGAATGTAATTTCGAATTTTACTCGAACTTTGTGAGTCAATACTAAATACCAAAAATAAACTCAGGGTACACTGAGCAGTTACTAGGTTTCACGCTTGCCTTCTAAGATGGAAAAAGTTAAATATTTACATCTGTTTGATATGTATATATACTCTTAAAGATGATGAATATTTGCATATTAGACACTCTCCCTCTGAAGGAAAAACCATCAGCTATTTACACAATAGAGCTAATGACCCAATACCCCGGTCATTGGTGAGGAACAAATGAGCAGTATGCAGGAAACTTGTTAATTTCATTTCATTCTGTGATCATTTTTTTGATGTGTCAATTTAGCTAGGCTTACTCAGTCCACTTGTTCAATCAAACAGTAATCTAGGTGCCGCTGAGAAAGTATTTTGTGGAGGCAGTTAAAGCCCATAGGAGCTGACTTTAAGTAAGGGAGTTTATCCTAGATAATCTGGGTAGGTCTGATACCCTGCTTGAAAGGTCTTAAAGGCAGGATGGAGGCTTCCTTGAAGAAGAAATTCTACCTGTAATATGAAAGTTCTGGCTCCCGCTGAGAGAGTTTCAGCCTGCCCTTCCTGCTGGGATGCCCTTAGGGTTTCAGACTTGCCCAGCTAGTCCCAAAGACCATGTAAACTAATTCTTCACAGTAAATCTCTTAATCCCTTCCTGGTTCTGCTTCTCTGGTTGATCCCTGATTGATATAATCCCAAATTGGAAAACAGTGTTAAGGGAAGAGGGAAGGAAGTTGCCAGGATTTGTCAGCACCCCACCCCAGGTTGTGTCTACAATGCACCAACAGACTCAAGTCAGATGAACACATGCATGTGTGTTTAAAAATACACACACACACACACACGTGCACACAATCACACATTAAAAACAGTATGTCCCGCAAACACTCAAATCCGTATGTTTAACAGACCCAAAATTTTTAACAGATTTAATGAACTGAACACAAGCCTCAATTAAGAGATAACAACACAACCAGAGAGTAGGACTCAATAGCCCATTCTAAATGATAATCTGAAGAAGGAAACAAATGCGCCACGTCACTCACAAGAAAGACATTTCTCACACTTTGATACAAACCACCATCATCTTTAGAAAACAAACACAAATATCTCACCTCAAATTAATAAAGGTTGCTCATCCAACCATAAGAAAAAAGTGGTCTTAACGTCTATGACATTGGTCAAATTACATCATAACACGGATGCAGCTACATAAATATGTTTTCCAATCTCACAAACAGTAAGTCATTAAAAAAAACAACGAACAAACAAACAAAAAAAACCCAGTTTACGTCCAGACAAGTTAGTTTTACACACACGCCCTGCTTCCCTTCCTTACCTGGACTGCATATCTTGCTGGGTTTTGGCCTGACTGGCTTCTGCCTGAGGGGACGCGTGGCTGACCCGCTGCTGAAGCTCTACCAGGGACTGGTAATACTGTTGCTGATGGTGTTGTTGCTGCTTGTAGCGAGACAAACTGAAAAACAGCCCTAGAATGGCTTTTAAGTTTCCATTTCTTATTTCTGCATCAAAGGGAAAATATAAAAACAGTAGCATATGAAATGAAAGCAGTTTTCCTTTTTATTTATTTATTTATTTATTTATTTATTTATTTATTTATTTGTCACAAACGCAATTCCAGTTGCCATTCTCTTAGACTAAATCTGAGGAGATAGAAATGCACCTCGAGTCTTGAAGTCACAGATTCCAGCAAATCTGAATTTTCTGAAGCATGATGCATTTCCAAAGAGCCTGGAGCTTCAGGGACAGAGTGATGGGATGGAAGGTAGAGAGAACAAAACGTGTAGGAGCAAGGTTCTTTGCTGATCGTCAACTGCAATTTTTCTAGAGTTTGCTTCTTCCCAGAAATGGATGAGCTTTCTGTCTTGTGCTAATCATGTGATTCAGCATTCTGCCTCCCTCACAAAGTCTCAGCTGCTACCAACACAGTGATGGCTAAGAAGTGGAGAAATGTTGGTTTCCTTAAATGTTGGTTGTCCTACATTTTAAGTAATGATGGTGTGGGTGCACATTATAATGGCAACTAGATTTATAGTTGTCCTCCTAAATCACCTAACAATCAATTTATTAAAATGTTTATGTATTTATATGTATGACTATACATGTAATATCCCAAAAGTACATATAATAAGCATTTTAATGGTCCAATTTTTCTCTTGACTCATATTACATATTAATAAATAATAAAGATCAGCTTATTCATGTCTTTAGATAACAACTGAATAAACGTGAATGTAAATCCTAGTTCTAGTACATGGAGCTCTTAAATTCTTTTTACACTGAATAAAAAGTTAAACACCCAAAGTAAGCTACAATCTAAACTTCATTTTCTTTTACTTGCAGTCATAATTTAAAATTTTGGAGAAATGGAAGTAAAGCTTGAACTAAGGCTCTGAAAACTGTAATTATATACTAAATAAAACATGACATTGGGAATAAAATACATCCTCTTGTGAAGCCAAGGTTTTATGTTTCCTTTTTGTAGTTTAGGGTATTAACACACTATTCTGATTTCTTGCTCTCTGATGGTTTATAAATGTCACACAATATATGCAGTAGGATTATTCATTTAAAGTGAAAATGAGATGCCCCCCCAAACCTTCTCGCAGTTGCCGTAATATAGAAGAGTTAGTCTGATCAATATGAAGCTATAGTAAGGAAGTATTAATGATCTCATGTAAATCTAGATGATCTTAAAGGTTTTTAAAATTTCTTGTTTTCTTACTATGCATATTTTACTAACTTAGAAAATTATTTTGAGCATTTACATATTTTTAGAAGATAAATGAAAATCAATGGGTTTCTTTTACTAAAGAATGTCATATGAGAAGACAGAGATATAATATGAACAAATGGTAACATTTTTAACTTACTTTTAACCACTGAAAAAGTAAAATATTTTCCTGGGGAATTTTATCAACTTTTATTCTAAGTTACAGAACCATCAGTTAGGTTTGAACCTAAGGGTTTTGGCCCCCAAGTGTGTAATTTAATATAATATAACATATCATATAAGTGTAAAAGACAAAGGAAATTTAAAACAAAAAGATGAATATAGAAGAAAAATTGAGAAAACCTAATAATTCTACTAAATGTTCATTGTATTTCAGAAGCCACATAATTCCTCTTTTTCCAATGACAGAAAATTTTTAAAACTTAGACCTAATATTTCTAGTATGTGTCGGGGGAAAAGACTATTCAGAATAAGGGACTAAAGTAGAAGCATTAACCAATCTAAATTGTTGCAGCATATACTAGTATCTAGCAGAATTTTAGCATATAAGTTAATATTCTAATAAAATAGCGGTTATTGTGGATCTCAAAAGACTTGCTATTTCATAGCCTTAGCAACTAGATTTTGTTATAGTACTTGAAACGTTTTCCTAAAACTATATGTGAAAGACAAAGATTAAAATATATATATATATTTCCCTCTTTTTCCAGTTTTCTGTATTTTAATTTTAATAATGATCCTTTAAATCTTTAATGACTTTTAGCTTTTACATATGACAGCTATTAAATATTTTAATTGCTAATTATTTCAGAACTCATGACGACTTATTTAAACTTACCAAATATTTCAACTAGGACTACCAATTTGATATGTTACTGACAAAATGATATTTGCAGATTAATTATACCATTTTTCCTGAATTTAGTCTATCTATAATGTAGCATTACCTATGTATCCATCCATCCCTCTACTTAAGACTCGAAAAATACTATACACTGATAATAACATAAAAATGTTTTGTTAATCTACCCCTCTCCCACACACTCAGTCATGAAAATAACAGTTTTGGCAAAATATGGAACATATATAAGTAATTAAAGCATACATTAATAATCATTGCATTTATGTTTCTATTACTTTGGAAACTTGACTTCATGCATTAAAAAGCTATGTACTCCCACTTTACATTCCTTGTAATACAAAAACTTTTTTTTTTTTTTTTTTTATAAACTTGGGTGTTATTTGCGACAACTGTGCCTTTTCTTACCTTCAGCAGATAGACCTTGAACATTTACTCCTCTGGCTGCTAGAAAACTAAGGCAGACATCAACATTTTCAATCTGTAACATGAAAAGCAGTGAAAAGGCAACTTAGAGGGTTATTTTTAAATAAACAAATGAGCTAAAATGAAACCAGAGAGTAAGATAAGGAAAGAATGAATACTTTACATTCACTTCATACTAGAGATCTTTACCAGAGTTTAACTAGAATTATTTCGGATAATTGTAGAACGAATATAAAGCTTCCATTGTCTGGGTTGGTAGTCACAAACAATTCATAAAGGCCTGATGAAGAATGGCATTCTCACAGATTAGCAACTCACCTACCTAACATAAAACTGGATTTTGTGCTTCACAACTAGGTCTCAATGAAAGCATCCATACAGGAGGAGACTTGCTTATGCATGTTGGAGAATGTTAGGATGTGGGTAATTGGGATTCAACCAGTAAGAGTTGGTCATTATGCCAGAGGGTTGATGTGAAACAAATAAAGCATATTTTCATCTTAAACTATAACTAAGTCTTTACTTTAAAAAATGTATTTGTACTTTGACAGTTGTATATTCCTCTAATTAAATTTAGGTATTATCTTTATAATTTAAGATTGTGATGCCATGGCTTTTAAACAGTTGGTTTTGATATGATTACCAGTTTGTAACCATTTAGAGTGATAGGTAGAAACAAAAACCCAAAAACTCTAAATGATTGATTTATGTTAATTCACAGGTTGATCTCAATATTGATATATGGTGTTATACAGCGAAGTTAAACAGTTAAGACTTCTTTAAAAGAATGTAGGAAACTAGAAAGTTCTAGTTCTTTATGAGTCATCTCCCTGGGTTGTTCTGGTATTCCATAAATCTTGAAATTCTAAAGTAAATAGAAGATTTAAAGTTAATACTTGGCAAGATATTGTTTTCTATCCCATTAAATTCTCATCCAAAGCTATGCATAAGAACATACAAAATTCTGCCAATGTCCTCTCTAGCCTAGCTTCACAGAAAGGACAAAATGTCTCTTAAAGAAAAGAAAAAGAAAAAAAAAGAGACTCAAAATCTGTCCTTATACAATGGAAAATTATTTATATTCCTTTTTAAATAGAATTTTATGCAAAACTAATATTCAATGAGATGTTCTTTGTTTAAAAAATGATTGCAGCTAATATATAAACATTTACTTTGAGGAAAATGATTTTTATTTATTTCACAATAAGTGTTACTAAGAAGAAAACTTGTTTTATTGAAATCATTCTACTAAAACAAAACAAAACAAAAACCCCAAAACCAGAAAATTGGAAGTCACAGAATATAATATGACCAAACAAATCTTGTTTTGCCCATCAGCATCTAAATATCCAATAACGTTATGGTGCTTAAATCTTTTCTTTTCTTTACCTTTCACTTTGCTACTAGAAAATAAGACTGTATAAGGAAGGAAATAAGGAGGAAAGAAAAGAAATTGGAAAAACAGGATGTTCTACTGCATTCATCTAAAATGTCCTTTTAGGGCACCTGGGTGGCTGAGTTGGTTAAATGTCTACCTTCGGCTCAGGTCATGATCCCAGGGTCCTGGGATGGAGCCCCACATTGGGCTCTCTGCTCAGCAGTGGAGTATGCTTCTCCCTCTCCTATTCCCTCTGCCCTTGCCTGTGCTCACTCACTCACTCTCTCTCAAATTAATAAGTCTTAAAAAAAGAAAATGTTCCTTTAAATTTTTTTTAGGACCATTAAATACAATAAGAGAAACACACCAAATAATTATTGTGGTCTAATACCAAGAGAATTGAATTGAATATTTTTTAATGCTTACCATAATAGTCCCAATGCTGCTGATTTCCTACCAATTATATGCTTTTTCAGAAATTAAGAAGATTCTAAACATGTGCAATTTACTAAAAAATGTTCACAGGCTATTACTGCCCAAATTTTAGTTATTTTTATTACATACAAACATATTAATTCACTATAAGACCTACAAAAGGTTAATAAATAGCATCTATAATAATATTGTCAGATTGTTTTTTGTGGCTACCATTTAAACCATTAAAAAAATAAACTAGTGTCTGGAGTGGGTATTAAAGACAAAGAACTCTTAGCATGCACTATAAACTAGGGAAAATAAAAGGGCCTTAATGGAGTAGAGAAAATATACTGACAGTATATTCAAGGATATTTGTTTATATATTCAGGTATGGGTTTTTTGAGACCGAGCCCCTGCATGACAGGGACTATATTTTGTTCACTCATGTACCTTCAGCAACCTAAGGGGGTGCTCGGTATCTGACAGGAGCTCTGTGCACACTTAAGGAAGGATAGAGATAAAAAGGAGTGGTGGCCAATCCATCCCTATGGAAAGGAGTAGAGGGCTCAGGGATAGACACAAAAAGAGAGAGAGGAGGAGGGAGAAAAAGGGAGAGGGAGGAGGAGAGGGAAAAGGAGAGAGGGAGAGAAGGAGGGAGTATAAAATAGAGAGAGAGAGAGAGAGAGGGAGAAAGAGGGAGGGAGAGGGAGAAAGAAGAAAGAGGGAGAGAGAAATCATTTGATTCAGAGCCTGTAAGTTCAATTCTCTTTGGGATTTTTAGTAATAGACCACTCTGGAGTCCCTGACAGACTCCAGACCAAAAAAAAAAAAAATTCAGAAACTCTGTGGTTTGGGGCTGAAATTCAGTTTGTTTTCAAATTTTAGCTCCCAGTGTCAGTCTACCTTCCTCTTTACAGACTAAGCAACTGACCCCCAGAGAAGATCTCATATAAAGATGAGCTAAAGAAGCCAACAAAAGTATTATATTTTTTATCCCCAATGTCCATGAAATTCAAGATGTACAAAATTAAACACTGAAAATATTAGAATAGTGATGAACTTTGGAAGGGTATAGTCTGGAAAGTTGTATAGGGGGAAGGGGCATGCTGGAAGTGTCCTTTGTTTTGATCTGAGTGTGACTATACAGGTATATACATATTAAAAAATCAATCAGCTATATACTTAAGATTGGAGTACTTTATATATTTTCTATGTTTGTTTTACCTTAATTCCTATTAGAGTACTTTACACTCTTATATGTGTGTTTTACTTCAATTAAAAATAAAAATAAAAAGATCAGCCCCCTGTTTTATCAAAAATAAAGGCATATAAGAATAGAAGTACAGAAACATAATGGGAGACTGTTACAAGTAGTTAAGTGAATGATGATGGTGTTTTAGACCATCATGGTGACATTGAAGTGATCCAGATTCTGGATAGAAGTTGAAGAAATTTAGATGGAAGATATGGCATTAATAAAAGGTGAGGAGTCAAGGATGACCATGATACTATGTAATTCATGCACTTTACATTTTATGCCTGTGGTATTTTATATATACATCTCCACATAGCAGTGATCCAGAGAAATTCATTTTCTATTTTGTGGGCACCATGCTTCTGAGATGGCTCAAGTCATAGTCACATCCATAGCTCATGGATAGTCACTCCCAGGACTTTTACATGCCTACTCTGATGTCATGCACAATTTATTGGGTCTATATGTGGCTTACATTTTATTGGCTCAGTGCACCCACTTTGCTCTCTTTTCCTGTTAAATTTAAGCATGGCTACACGAAATATATAAAAATATTGACTTTGTAACAAAAAACCCCACAAAGTTTCTAAGTTTGAAATCCAAGTTCTAAGTTCTAAACCCAGTCAATAACATCTAGTCAGAACTTTGAAAATCTCTGGGTACACTGAGACTTGAGGCTTTTGTATTCTATGAAAATATCTATAATTATCACAATGTATAAACAAAAAGACATTTTTGCTCAAATTCATATGAAAATGGACTGCTGTGTGTGTTTTCCTTATCAAAGACACAAATTCAATAGAAGTTGGCTCATAGTTTTGGAATTCAGTAGTTTCTATTTGTGTAATAGTATTTTGGAGCACTACAATTTAATTTTGTTTATGTCTTATAAAATCAAATCCTTCAATTATTCATTCATCAAGTATTTATTAAATTTATTTTATGTGTGGAATTATGCTCAGCACACAGATAAAAATTTCAAGACACAGCCATTATCCTATTTTCTAAAGAGCATTGACTCATTTCTAATATTTTCCACACTCTCATGAAAAATGAAAGCGATTTTTCAAAACAGATTTAATGTCTAATCTCATAATTGTACTTTTATCTTGACCCTTATGAACTTGCTAAATACAAGTATATGTACTACTAAATCACAAGTTGGGTTTCAAACAAGGAAAATAAGTGTTTTTATTATCTTCATTTATGAAAACTCAAGACAGTCATCATTGAATTTGTGCTTTCAAAGTTTTTTATACATTCTCAACATACTAATCATAGAAGATTATACTGGAAATATTTGTATTTATTCATCTTATTTTTGAATAAACTATTCCAAAAATTGGAGAATTTTTAATGAGCACAGTTCTTTATTGAACTCATACACTTTAAGCTGCATGTTTTAGGACAGCTAGACTTTTAGTATTTTTACTATAAAACTAGTACAACCTGTTTTGGAAAATGTGACTAGAGGCATCTTTCACGTGTTAATGAAGTTATACCTTGTTCATTCACATGTTTTTTTCACTTTAACTTATGGATACTTAATGAAAACTATATTTAGGTCCTAAATATCTGGTATGATTAATATGAACCTTATAGTTTGTGATTAAATTTAAACCATGGCACCACCACTTTAACAATGAATGATAAATTCATTCGGCAACTACTGACTGTTTATTATATGCAAAGAGCTCTGCTAGATGGTGAAGGGATATAAAAATGAATTATAAAGTCTTTGCCTTTGTGAGCTTGTAAAATAGCTGGAAACAAAAAAGACTGATAAATCACTATCACATAAGGCATAATATGAGAAATTCTAAAAATGAATTATAAACAATACCGCCACAGAGAGAATGGACTTATCAATTTTCACTACACATCTGGGAAAAGCATCAGAGAAGAATCATTAAAACTTGAAGGTTAGTCTGACTTTGATAAGTTAGACAAGTGTCAGAAGGAGGGGTGGGCATGCCTACCAGAGCAACCAACAGCAAAATTGCTC